TTACTTCCAGAAAGCACAACAAAAATACTAGCAAACCAAATCTAGCCACATAGTAAAAGGACTTGATAAAACATGACTAAATGAATTTGTCCTAGGAATGCAAGGATGATTCAACATATGAAAATCAATCAATGTAATATTCCATGTTAATAACATTAACAGAAGCAAAGACAAAAATCATATAATCTTCAATAAATGCAGAAAAAGCCTTCAATGAAATTCAACATCCTTTCATGATAAAAACTCTGATGAAACTAGGAACAGAAGGAATGTACATCAACATAATAAAGCTATATATGACAAACCTACAGCCAACATCATACTAAATGGGGAAACTGAAACCATTTCCTCTAAGGTCAGGAACTTTCTCCATTTTTATCCAACATAGTCTTGGAATTCCTAGTCAGAACAATGAGGCAGGAGAAATAAAAGGAATTCAAATAGGAAAGCAAAAAGTCAAATATCCCTATTTTCAGGTGACATGATCTTATACCTAAAGACCCAGAAAACTCCACCAAAAAACCTCCTAGACAGCATAAAGCAAAATCGCAGGATACAAAATCCATATACGAAAATCAGTAGCCTTCCTATAGCCCAACAATGAACACACTGAGAAAGAATATAAGAAAACAATTCCATTTACAATAGCCTCAAAAAAACACCTAAGAATAAACTTAAAGAAAGTGAAAAACCTCTACAATGAAAACTATAAACCATTAAAGAAAGAACTCAAAGAAGACTACAGAAGATGGAATTAACTCCCATGTTCATGGATTGGCACAATCAATATTGTGAAAATGGCTATATTACCAAAAACAATCTACATGCTTAATACAATTCCCATCAAAATCCCAATGACAGATACTGAAAAATCAATCCTAAAGTTCATATGGAAGCACAAAAGACTGCAAATAGTCTGATTTTTTACAAAGGTGCCCAAAACATATGATGGAGAAAGACACCTTCTTCAACAAATGTTGCTTGGAAAACTAGATATCCACATGCAAAAATACTGAAACTAGATACATGTCTTTCACCCTGTATAAGTATCAACTCAAAGTAGATTAAAGACCCTGATATAAGACCTGAAACTTTGAAACAACAAGAACTATAAGAAAAACACGGGAACTTACAGGCACAATTACTTCCTAAATAGTACCCCAATGGCTCAGCAACTAAGAGAAAGGATTGACAAATGGTACTACTTAACACTAAAAAGCTTCTGTGCAGCAAAAGAAATGGTCACCTGATTGAAGAGGCAGTCCACAGAATGAGAAAAAAAAAATCTTTGCCAGTTATACATCTGACAGGGATTAATAATCAGAATATGCAGGGAACTCAAAACACTAAACTCTCAAATAATCAACGATCCAGTGAAGAAATGGGCAAATTAATTGAATAGAATTTTTTCAAAGGAAGAAGTCCAAATGGCCAAAAAACACATAAAGAAATGCTCACCATCCCTGGCTATAAAGGAAATGCAAATCAAGACCACATTAAGATTCTGCCTCACTCCTGTTAGAATAGCTACCATCAAGAACACTACCACAACAAATGTTGGTGAGAATGTGGGGGACAAGAAACCTTCATATACTGTTGGTGGGATATAAATTAGTATAACCGCTAGGGAAAACAATATGAAGGCTCCTCAAAAACTAAAAATAAACTGCCATATGATCCAGCAATTCCACTCCTGGGTATATACCCAAAGAAATGTAACCCAGGTTACAAAAAAGACACCTGCACTCCCATGTTTATTGCAGCACTATTCACAGTAACTAAGCTATGCAAACAGCCAAGCTACCCCACAACTGATGAGCAGATTAACAAAGTATGGTGTTTATATACAATGGAATTTCATTCTGCCACAAAGAAGAATGAAATTTTGTCATTTTGCAAGTATATGGGTGGTACTGTAAGAACATCATCCTAAGTGAAGTTGGCCAGGTTCAGAAAGTCAAAAGCTGCATGTTTTCTCTCATATATGGAATATAGGCCTAATACAAATGCAAGCATTATTATATACACATATAGATACATAAAGAACGTGTGCCTAAAAATGGAACTGGTGGAGGAGACTAAAAGAGGAGGAAAAGGAAAGACAGACAACAAATAATAATGAAATACATCAAATTGTGTAGGAACAAGACACAAGGAAACACACTGAAAACCATTTAACAACGCAGGATGAGGAAAAGGGTTGAGGAAGTGCGGTGGGTGGGGTGGGGGTACAATGACTTAAGCAGAGTGCATGTACAGGTGTAACACCAAGGCAAAATTACACTCAACAATGAACAGACACCTAACCAACAAAGCACAAGAATGAAAAACAAGTCATGCTGAGAGGAGGGCATTAGCAGGAAGGGGAGGATAAAAGAAGAAAGCAAAGATGAATATGATTGATGTACTTTCTATACAAGAGTAAATACAGAATATTTCACCTGTTGAGATCACCATAAAAAGGCGGCTAATGTAGAAAGGAGAAAAATGGAGGGGATGAACCAATTCAGGATATAATACATATATACTTTGAGTTATCATAATGAAACTCCCTATATAACTATCTTAAAAATGTCTTTTTTTTTCCAAAAATGAAGGACAGGAGGTAAAATAGATCCTGTCTGGGGGTTGGCACCAGTGAGAGGGGAGGACATAAGGAAAGGGTGAAGGAGGTGAATACGGTGGGAATATCATGTGCTCATGTATGAAAATGGAACAATGAAGCCTGCTGCAAGTATTCTACAAAGGGCAGAGGGGAAATAAAGGAGAACAATGGAGGGGTGAATCTAAGATATACTGTAAGCACTTTTGTAAATGTCACAATGTACCCCCCAGTACAACAGTAATATGATAATAAAAATGGTAATATTCTACCTTAAGAGAATGAAAGGAAAATAGACAGTTGTCTCATTAGGTACAGAAAAAACACATTTGACAAAATCTTGAACTCTTTCATGATTAAAAAAAGAATTAACAAAGTAGGAAGCAAAAGGAATTTCCATGACATGAAAAAAAGTACATTTATGAAAAACTGGCAGTTAATGTATACTCAGTGATGAATGACTTAAAGCTTTCCTGATAAAATAAGGGAAAAGGATTGTCCAATTCCACCACTGCTACTGAACATTCCACTAGGAGTTTTAGCCAGGGCAATTATGAAAGAAAAATAAAGCCATACAAATTGGATTCACATATGATTGGATCTTTAATCATAGATGACATGACTTTATATGTAGAATAAAGAATCCACAAAAATAAGATCTATTAGAACTCATAAACAAATTCAGCAAAGTGGCAGAATACAAGGATCAACATGCAGGGACTGGAGGGGAGGGGATGGGAAGGAAAAGACAGCCTGTAAAACAAGCAAAAATGTTTGGAAATTATGTATCTGATAGTATCTAAAATCCATAATATATACCTAACTCTTACATCTAAGCAACAAACAGCCCAATTTTTTTAAATGGACAGAGGACTTGAGCAGACAGTTTTCCAAAGAAGATATGCAAGTGATTAATAAATATATGAAAAGTTTATTATCATTTGTCATTACAGAAATACAAATTAAAACCACAAAAAGATGGTTAGAATCAAAAAGATAGAAAAAAAAAAAGTTGGCAAGGATGTGAAGAAATTGCTTATGGTAATATAAAAATGGTATCACTGGTGTACAAAACATTTTGGTGGTTCTCAAAAATGGTTAAAATGTGAACCTGAGGCTTATACCTATAATCCTAGCTACCAGGAGGCAGAGATCAGGAGGATCACAGTTCAAAGCTAGCCAGGGCAAATAGTTCATAAGACCCTATCTCAAAAACACCCAACACACACACAAAAAAAAGGGCTAGTGGAGTGGCTCCAGGTATAGGCCCTGAGTTCAAACCCCAGTATTTCAAAAAAAAGTTAAAAAAGGGAAACAACCATATGATGAAGCAATTCCACTCCTAGGCACACAAGCAAAAAAACTGAAACCAGTTTATTCTATCTTACAGGATAAAGCTAAAAAAAAAAAAGTATTTGCACATAAATGTTGCTAGCTCACTGTGCACAACAGTCAAAAGGTGGAATTATCCCAAGTGTCCATCCGTGGATGAATTCTAAAACAAAATAAAGTAGGTACATACCGTGGAATATTATTCAACCATAAAAAGGAATGAATAATGAATTACTGATAGATGCTACAACATGGATGAACACTGGATACATTGCACTACGTGAAAGAAGACACATACAGAAGATCATATATTATATGATTCCATTTATAGGAAATATGTAGAAAGTAGTTAAATCCACAGAGACACAAAGGCGATTAGCTATTTCCAGGGACTAAGAGAGGGGAGACTGAGGAGTGACTACCTGGTGAGTGCAAGGAGCTCTTGTGGAGGCGAAGAAAATGTCTAGAACAGAAAGAGGTGACAGTTGCACAAACGTGAGTGTTCTAAATACCACTGAATTATATACTTTAGAATGGTTAATTTTATGTTATATGAATTTTTCAGAAGGACTTTTTCGGTAGTACTGGCGTATGAAGCCAGGGCCTCACACTTGCTAGGCAGGTAACTCTACCACCTGAACCACTCCCCAGCCCCAGAAGGAAGCTAAGAAAGGAGGTGGAAGTCAGAAGTTAGATGGAAAGAAGGAAGGAGGGAGTTGGAAGGCATGAGGTTCAAAAGTGCCTATACCTGCAAGACAGGCAAAGTCACAGAGGAGACTAAAGAGCAAGTGTCCAGACATTAGTCTCAAGGTCCTCAGGTGATTCATGAGTTCTCTGCTCCTCCAGTTTTTGCCATACACCCTACCTCTCAGATCACCTCACCATAGATGCTCTGTCATGTCATGTAAAAACACCCTCTTCTCTCTCCTCTCCCCTAATCAAGACCTGTGGGACAAGTAAGCTGGTGGTGCTTTCTCTCCCCTGGAGCTAACCATGAGCTGTTACAATGAGCTTTGGAAGCACAAGGGACATTACAATTTAAGTGCAAACCATGAAGCTCCTTTACCTTTGCAAGTTCTCTTCTCAGCTCATCTTGCTCCTCTTCTGAGAGTGTCTCTGTGGCACTCAGTGTGGCAGCAGCATCTTCTCCTTCCTCGGGTACTGGGTCTGTCCCCAGCAGACCTTGGAGATTAAAAAAGAAAAAATGTGAATGCCAAGTAAAATTCTCCTTTGGGCTGCTCCACTGTCAAGGCCGGAATAAAGTCAATCAGGTTAGAATCCCACACTGCCTTTCTGCAGCAACCCAATGACCTAGCTAGTAATAAAGGACAAAAGTCTGGGCTAGCCAATAAATACTGCCAACTGAGACTCTGGCAAAGTATAAATTTAGAAAATATAGCCTCCCCTCTGCTTCCACTCATATTCTCAGTCACAATATGGTCGAGGCAAAGCTGTGTGAGCAAATCAGCATAAATTAGATCAAAGATTTTAGGGGAGAGGACTACACACTCATTAACTCCTGTGGAGATCAAATCACTCTTTAACAACTTCAGTGAAGGACCAACCACAGAACAACTAACCATCTTAAAAGAAACCGTGTTCCGTTTCCTCCCGTTAGTTAGTGGTGGTAAAATCTTAGCACTCAGGAGGCTGAAGCAGAAGGATGGAGAGTTTGAGGCCTGACTGAGCTACTTACTGAGACCCTAAAGAAGATGGGAGGGAAGAAAGAAAAAAAAGAAAAGGAAAAAGCAGAGCCTACTGGGAAGAACTATTTTGGGAGTACAGCCAGCGAGGCAGCAGCCGCTCAGCAATCCATGCTCTTCTGCACCATGTTCTTCATGGCCACCTGCACCAAGGCTAAAGGCCAGTGAGGCTCAAACCTTGGGTGCAAAACAGAAGGAGGCATCAATAACCTCAGCGATATTTTAATCCAATTTTTAAAATCAAAGTTAATTCAAAGAATCCACTATTTTACATTCTAACATTTTGTTCAGAGATTTTTTGTATTAATTTTAACTTCTTAAGCACTGCATTTACATATTGTTTGATTACTAAGCTTTTGGGTACCCTCTTAAACTTTATACCTGAGCCAGGCACCAGTGGCTCACCCCTGTAATCCCAGCTACTCAGAAGGCAGAGATCAGGAGGATTGAGGTTCGAAGCCAGCCTGGGCAAATAGTTTGCAAACCCTATCTTGAAAAACAAAAAAAGGGTTGGTGAAGCGGCTCAAGGTGTAGGCCCTGAGTTCAAGCCCAAGTACCACCCAAAAAAATAACAAAAAACTTTACACCTAAGACAAGTGTTTCCTGGCCTCTTGCCCTAGCCAGTCTGCCTATCCATTCCTAGGTCCAGGTGTGGGATTTTTTAATCTCTTTCAGCAACAGATTTTGCTGCACAGAGGACCAGGAGAATATTTCCTGTTCTTTCTACCAAAGAGTGTCACAACCAATACAGTCTTTCCCTACCACCTTCCACAATCATTTGAGCAGTGTGGGTTCAGCCATAGGAGCTATGTGGCACTCCTCCAAAGCACAATGCCAGGAACATGAAGGCAGCTGGGCAGGCGGAAAGGAAGACCATGCTGTGAACGAGCTGCCAGTCATAGCAACATAAGAGAAAAACAAGAACCAATGTGACCGCACTCACTGTTACAGTCACAAAGGTTCTTGGTGTTGGGGCTATCACGTGCCAACTATTTAACGGTAGTTCATAATTATGATAATCACCACGACCAGTACCAAAACAGTGCCTACCTGGAAGGTGTTTACAGCATCCTAAGCAAAAAATAAAGTAATACAAATAAAACAATTATAACACCACAAATTGGACTGACAAACATAAGCTTCTGCACATCTCTAAAATACTTTGAAGGGACTGCTTGAGTTAATACTTCCATGACAGAAATCTGGCCATTTCACTCTCCAGTCTAATACCTTTTAGTGCTTCCATGTTTTTAAAACATAGTCTAGCCCCTTAGGGTAGCAAACAGGCCTCATGGGACCATCTCCTCCTTTCCGGTACTGGTGCCTCTCAGTCCAACTCCAGCCAACTCCAACTGTGAAGGAGGTGCTGCACCACATACAGTCAGAAACTGATTCCAAGAACTAGTATGTGCTTGTCAAAAAGGGAGTATGAGAGTGAGGATGGGAGTCAAGCACAGCAGATAAGGAGACACAGTCAAAACTGTATCAGAGTTGCCAGTAAACAATCCTTAATTTTATTGTAATATTCTGCTCAGAACTCTCAAGTTCTCAACTGCAAGAAGACTAAAACCAAAACAAGACCAAGAAACTTCAGGTGCTAAACCATGCCTTAAATAGCAAAGACTCTTTCACGCTTTTAAATAAATGCTACTTTGCAAATCTACTTATGTAAGGGGAAAATACATTATCTGATTGCTAATAATGGATTATGGGTACCACCAATTCCAAGAAGAATCCAAAGGGATTCTGCTATGGGTTGAACAACCTTAACTCAAAAAAAATTAAGATTTTGAAGAATTTCAGATTTCTGACTTTCAAATTAGGGATGCTCAATCAATCAGTAAAGTCTATGCAAATATTCTCATCTCCAAAAAACTCCAAAACCTTAAAAAGTTCTTCTCCCAAGAACTGGTTGAATATTTGAAAGCTAAGGAATATTCAACCAGTTCATGTAGTATTCCATTAGAATACCAAGGAAAGTAAGTATCTCAGAAAAGAGGACTTTGGAATTGTCCATAGTTGGCTGCAGGACCACCAAGATGACGTGATTTTTATACTCAGCATCTAACAAAGTTGATGACAAATGTTCTGCTTTTTCCATATTACCCTGTAGGTGGCAGCAAAACAATAATATTAAAATTTAAAGGCACAGTTTAAGATATTCAACTGAAAAGGACGCAAAGCAAGTACAGGATAGTAGATGCCAAAATTACCAGCAAAATATGACAGCCATGCCTCAGGATAATTACTAACCACAGCCACCACCATGGGTGTATCCTGTTTATATTCAAATCCGAGCCAAGTGGTTCAAATATATGGTTCAAGTATATTCAGTCATTTACATGCAACAGAAAAGGGAATGGAACAGAAGCTCAGAGAGGCCAGGCAACTTGATCAACTAGCACAGTTGCTGGAGTTAGGGTTTTGAACTCAGATAGTCTGATTTAAAAGGAGATCCTTAATATCAGTGATCTGAAAACCAGAAAAGACATTGAAGGCAAGAATAATAAGACTATTTTTAAATAATCTGGCAGACTAGACCAAAACCAACCTTCATTATTTCAAACACAAGTTTCCCCAAACCCGAGGATCCAAATTCTGCCTTATATAACTTTTTAGATATCATCTTGTTTCCTATATGCTCAGAAATAGTATAGCATTTAATATGGAAGGAGAGTCTGGCCTTTGAGAGAAAAAATTAATTTCTCATTCAAACTACAAAAGGTAGACAACAGGACACTTTATAGTACTCCTTAAAATTATAAATAGCCCCAAAAAATTCTTGTTAAGTTTTAAAGTTCCTTCTCAGAATCTGATGCAAAGGTGTTTTTAAATGATGAAGACAGGGAATAATGACTAATATTTATTGAAATATAATAACCTAATCACTGTGAGGGGAGATTTACACCTTGACAAGGACTGTTTGCTTGAAAACTTAAGTCAGGCCTCTGAATCTTCTCTTAGGCCCTTCTATCCATTCTTTATAAAATCAATGGAAGCAAAGAACACTGCTAAATCAGAATCCCCATCCTTGATCAAATATGGATCAGGTTTCTCATCCTCCACCATCCCCCAGATGATGTTCATCTTGGCCTGCCTTCAGCAAGAATCCGATTAAGTTGGTTTAAGTCAGAGTCCACCTTATTCCTGTATTTCTCGGTAGTAATTTTCCATCCAGAGCTCCCTAGACAGACAGACAGACACACACACACACACACACACACACACACACACACACACACACACACAGGAGTTCCTTGCCCAAGCAATATTCAGAGAGGAATCCAATCTCCTTCCCCTATAATGCCCCCAATGCAGTAGTCTCCGTATCTACCTCGATGGTACTGAACAATTTTCCTTACTTTGTGTTAATAAGTCTCACTGAATAATTGTTTAACATTTTCTCATAAAACAAAAACAAAAAAACTTACAACCTACATCTGGTGAGAGGAGTATTTATTTCCACCAGGAAACTTAGGTCCTCTGAGGTTGCATAATTTACCCAGATTCCCAGAGGCAGGTTTAAAACTCGGGTCTTTCTGATTCTGCACTCTTATTTCCTTACATACTTTTTCTTAGAGAAATACCAATGAACAGGGCAGGACAAGGAAAACAGTCTCCACAAAGACTTTTTCACATCCCTGGTCTGAAAAGTCACAGATGGCATTATCAAGCCCAAGTGAATGAACACTGGCAATCATTTGCCCCCTTAGGTTAATATTTTAGCCATTTCCTTAATTCTTCTTTGTACAGTGCAAGCAGATCATCTCCCATCTTCAATTGTAATAATGGGATCTTTGAGGTGTTTTTTGATGTGTTTGTTTTTACATTATTGGGGTTTGAACTCAAGGCCTAAACCCTGAGCCACTCTGCCAGCCCTTTTTTATGTTGGGTATTTTTTTTTTAAATTTTATTATTCATATGTGCATACAAGGCTTGGGTCATTTCTCTCCCCTGCCCCCACCCCCTCCCTTACCACCCACTCTGCCTCCTGCCTCTCCCTCCTACCCCCTCAATACCCAGCAGAAACTATTTTGCCCTTATCTCTAATTTTGTTGTAGAGAGAGTATAAGCAATAATAGGAAGGAACAAGGGTTTTTGCTGGTTGAGATAAGGATAGCTATACAGGGCATTGACTCACATTGATTTCCTGTGCGTGGGTGTTACCTTCTAGGTTAATTCTTTTTGATCTAACCTTTTCTCTAGTTCCTGGTCCCCTTTTCCTATTGGCCTCAGTTGCTTTTAAGGTATCTGCTTTAGTTTCTCTGCGTTAAGGGCAACAAATGCTAGCTAGTTTTTTAGGTGTCTTGCCTATCCTCACCCCTCCCTTGTGTGCTCTCACTTTTATCATGTGCTCAAAGTCCAATCCCATTGTTGTGTTTGCCCTTGATCTAACGTCCACATATGAGGGAGAACATACAATTTTTGGTCTTTTGGGCCAAGCTAACCTCACTCAGAATGATGGTCTCCAATTCCATC